GAGTTTGTCACCAGCCCTGACCTTTCCTTCAGAAGTTTTCTGGTGCTCTGTGTGATTTCTCCCATCTCCTTGTACCACACTCAAGTGTCTGGGCCCTACCCTTTCGGCTGATTTTGTCATAAATGACAAAGGCTCATGGAAGAACTGACAAGCTCTTTCTGTGTGCTGTCCTGGCAGGCTTGTACCCATTGCGGAATGGATGATGCTGATAAGAGTCAGAGAGGGAGGCCTCCGGATATGCAAAGTTTCTCCCTAGTTAATGCAGGGCTCCTATCGGACTAGAACGCAAGCTAGAGGCATGAGGAGACCAAGATTTTTGGATAGAATCGGGCCTATCAGGAGATAGAAAAGGCCCTCTGTCCCCACCACTGTCCACTGATCAGGGAGGCAGTGACGGCGGACAGCAGTCTGGCAGTCCAGTGAGAGAGCAGTGACCCACTGAATTCCATGAGCCCTAAGGTATAAATAAACACTGAGGGAGGACTCCCTGGGGCATATCCTGTCTCCACAGTAGCAATAATCCAGGGGAGGCCTGAACCAGGTTGGGCCAAAGGAAAAACAGCCCCCTGGTCAATTCTTCCTCAAATGTTCCATGTGTCTCTTGGTCTCTAGGACACCCCACCTCACCCCAGTGAGGCTTGCAAGTCTTCTGAAAGTCATGTGGGATGGGAACTCCTAATGTCTTCTTTGCAGGACTCCTGGAAATCCTTAAATGATCTAAGTAAATGAGTAACTCTTTGGATATTACAAGATGAAAGTAAATGAGTTGCTCTGAGACCATAATGAATGCAAATGAATTCTGCACCTTTATGCAGGTTTGAGAGAGACTGGAAGGGCTACTAATGGCAAGACGTTGTCAGAACATGAGACAGAATTAAAATCAATGGGAATCAGGAAGAAGAGAAGGAAGGAAAAGTGTAAAGCAGTAGTCCTTGGAGAAGCTATTAACCAAGACTTGGCTTTTACTACTTTCATCCTAAGGTTGTAAGAAATACCTTGGGATGCTTTCTGCCCAGTGCTTCCAGGGAGCTTCCTCTTCCAGGGCTCCTGTCCCCTGTGGGTCTGGACCAAGGTACAGAGGGCACACTTTGGCTGCTCAGGGTCTGCAGAGGGTGTGGCTGCTCTATAGCCAATGCCCTCAGTCCTCAGTTGCCTGGAGATGAATAGATTGCCACTGTGCTGAATCCAGATTTGACAGTCACTGAAGACTCTCTCCACCTTCCCTTCCATTGTCCTCCTTGTAGACGCTCTTTCCTTCCAGTAGCCCCTTGATGCCTTCTGGGCCCTGACCCAGGTCTTCCCCTACCTGGGACTGACTGCTAGAGGGGCAGGACCACGTTCCTCCACCTTCCTCAGCAGCCTGCTTCTCTTCTCCTTCCTGCTCCCAGTTGAGGCCTGAAGTCAAGGCTGAGAGGGCAGAGGAAGCGAATCCCTCCCGGGCAGGGCCGCCTGCTCCTCCCACTTGCCACTGCCCCTAGTGCTCTTGATTCCTCGCACTCGGCTCCTTCCTCATTCAGACTTCTCACAAAGCCCCTTCAGCCTGTTCCCTTCCCCCGCAGCCCGGGCACCGCCTGTCCTTCGCCCTAGTGACCGTGTACATTTTCTTAACAGCCCTAAACCCTTTCGAACTCCCATTCTCTCAAGGCTCCCTTTCTGCAGGCTAACTCATCTTTGGAAGTCATTTATATCAAGGTATTTTTGGGTAAAATGTTATGCTCACATGTAATACACATTTCAGCAGAGTTTTCTGGTAGACTAATGCCTTAACTCTCAAAAAAAAAAAGAGAGAGAGAGAGAGAGAGAGAAACGAGAAGAAGAAAAGATTTCTTAATTCCAGTAATTCTCCCCAGAGCTGTCATGGAGGGGATCTCAGATCGTTCCTGAGGCAGGTCAGGATGGAAACATTTGGGTAGAGGGGATGTGGAACAGACACCCTGAAATCATGTACTTTGTGTCTGGTACCCAGTATATGCAAACACAGGATTAATGTTGTTTTCCATTTAGGCTTAATGTTAGACTCCTACAAAGTACTTGACATCACATCTGTGTCACAGGTAGGGGATGGGGAGAGGGTGGGTCCACCCAGTGAGGTGCCTCTAATTCTGAAACATAAACGGAAGGTTGTATGGTTTCTGAACTGAGGTTACACACCTTTTCCTTTCCATGGTTGCATTTGGGCTTGGGAACTAAAGCTAAAGACAAATACTTAAGTTTGAAATTTGATGGGAAGGAAAAAAAAAGTATGTCTTTAAAAAAAAAGAGAGAGAGCAGGTAGAATAATGTCCCCAGGCCAGGAAAGTACCAGTCATTTTCAGATAAATTATACCCCCCTCCTCCTCCATGGGAAAAAAAATCATACTCAGACTTAACTGTCCCTTTGGCACTTTTGTCAAATGAGTTTTAGTAGCAGGAGCTGCTAAAAATATAAGCCAATTTCTTTCTTCATTTAAATCAAGTGCTTAAAAAAGTGTAGCGCCTAGAACTGGTGCAGGGCTCAGCATAGCAGCAGCTCATCTGCCTGAGTCCCTGAATAGTCCTCCGTGACAGCCCAGCGCCCTCTCAGAGCCAAGGGAAGTCAGTGGCAAGGCTGGAAATTGACCCTAAACAGCGGGGGCTGTTTTTAGCAGCTGTAAGCCAAGTTGAAAAGGTGCCCTGGGGTACATACTGACCAGGTCAGATGCAGAGGGTGCTCTGACAAGTCCTTTCCTATCTGGACATTCACTAGTCCTTCCTTCCCTCCTTCCTTCCTTCTAAAAAACCAAAAACATTAAAAAGCACCAAGCATGTGCTAATACCTGTATATAGACAGGACTTAGGCCTCTAAAGTGAGATAATAGTCGCCACTCTCAGGAAGAATGGGATTCACTCCACCCCATCTGACGTCCATTCCCACAGTGCCTTTCACTTTAGTCATGTTTGGAAAGCAGTCTGACTCATCGGCCCTACCTATAAGGTGAGACCTAGTAAAGGCTTAAGTTGCATTCAGAGTTACCTGCCTTTTAACAGAAGACTCTTCATTTAAAGAGTCTTCTATAAGAAGGACTTAAGTTAGAAGGACTCCCAAGGACTTAAAAGCCTTTGAAGTCCAAAGAAATGTAGTTATAATGATAAATACTAGCAAATGTAATAGGGAGAGGGGGAGATATTTTTTCAGCCCAAAAAGTCCTCATGTTATCCTACAAGGCAGCTATTTCTTCGGCCCAAGAATCGTGTAAGCCATATATAAATTATGAATGTCAAAGATCATGCTAGATTCAAATTGTAGAAGTGGAAAAGTGTTAGAAATTAGCTAATAGAATTCATGTATTTTTACAGATAAGGAAATTCTGGAAGAGTCCAGCTCCTAGTGTGCCACCTGCTGCTCTTTCTCCCTTGTCATTCCCTGTGCTAGGGGGAAAGCAGCACTCCACGTCAAGGATGGAGATGTAAGACGGGGAAGCAAACCTACTCAGAGCTGACTGTGGGTTATGCTTGGATTTCACTGTAATGCCGCCAGTTCTTGGCCCTGGGACTTATAAACGAGGCCACCTTGAATCAAACCCCCAGTGGAACTTTAGTGATTCAAACAAACCTCCTGAATGAAACTCTGAGATAGCTTTGCCATAGTTCAAATTCTGGTCTCTAATGAATAGTGAACATAGTTATTAATGTCACAGTGACTTCCACAGAATAGCTATATCATTTTCACCACTCTATCAGACCTGACTTTTTTATCCAACAATTGCGTTAATGCCTTCTGTGTGTTTGTTTGGTGCAGCTAAGGTGCAGTACCTAATCATGTACCAAAACCAGTGATGGATGGTGGCAAGCCAGCTCCACTAGGCTTTCTTCCGATTCTACTTAGTAACAGTGGCACAGAAATATAGAAGGCTGCCCAGGAATCCCTGTTGCAATGGCACAGGAGGGAAGTCAAGTGATTCTAAGTAGGATTAACTCTGTAACCCTTTGTTCCTTACAGTGATGCTCTAATCACCTGCGTTTATTCTTAGGAATTAGCACTAGACAACTCCAGAAGTTCCTGGCCCCACAATGCTACTTTAACCTGTTTGGACCCTCTTTATTTATGATGTTTTATATTCCAGCCCTGAAGTCACCTCTGTGACCTTTTACATAAGTATCAGTTTGTTTGGTCCTTGACCAGCTGCTGTCCTGTCCCATTGCAGAGTTGCAGTTCATTTTGGATAGTCTTTTGGAAAAGCAATTAGATCTTAACAACAGTCTTTTGGATAAGCAAATAGATCCTAACAGCAGATGGCATGGGTTTGAGATTGGATTTGGTTTCTAAATAATGATGACTAACACTTCTGTAGCATTTCTTACATGTCAAGCACTGTTCTGAAATTTTACGTAATTACTTCACTTCATCTTCACAGCAACAATTATAGGAGAAAAGTATTATTATTAGTCCCATTTTACAGATGGGGAAACTGAGGTAAAGGGAGGTTATGTAATTTGTCCAAAGTCACATAGCTATTAAATGGCAGAGATTTCTATCCAGGGAGTCTGGTTTAATCACTACAGTAGATAGCCACTAGCACACTAAGTTTTGAAATGTGGATTTTGCTATTGAAAGTAAGTTGCTGGCACTTTAGGATTCCTACATAAGGGAAGTTATCTAAGAAAAGAGCCAGTTGGCCTCTGTCAGCAAACACAGTATTTAAAGCACACAGAGGCAGTCGTTTCCCTTCATTTGAACCCCCAAATCACATCTAAGAACAAAGTTTGTCTTGACTTCATAGATCAGGCCCACTTACCATGCAAAGCTAGAGGTTAGAACCATGCAAAGCTAGAGGTTAGAACTGTCGAGCCTAGCTGAGTCAAAAATGTTCCCAAGTCCCAGACCTCTTCCTCTTCCGCAAAAGCCCCCCAAGTATGCCATTACATCATGCCCTCTCTCTATGGATCCCTTCCTTAGATCTCCCCTGAACCTAAATTAGGACTGCTGATCTGACCAGCACACATGTATGTAAGCATTCAACAGACCTACAGACTGGAAATAACACTTCACTGTTTACTAACTTCGTTATCAGTAAGCTCTGCTTTCACAACAATGTAAAGACCATGAACTATGTCTTAAACCTCATTATTTTCTCACAAAGGGCTCATTAATATATTGGCTATCCCTAAGCTACATTTTATAAATGTTTAGGAACCTAACCTAAGGAAGCAGGAGTGTTTTAGGCAAAGCTATACTTTAGCAAAGTTATTACATTGATTTTTCTTTTTGTCAGTATATTGTTTACCTTCTTAGTTGTTTTTTTTTTTGTTTTTGTCTTTTTCCTTTCCTGGTAGATGTCTAGAAATTCCTACTTACCTGTTACATTGAGTTGAACACACCTTCTTATTTCTGTAGAAAATAAAGTATAGATATTACATATGCTTGTGTTTTGTCTGTCTAAGACCACAGCAATGAATTCTGAGAAATGAAAAATTCAGTAATATATCTGTCTTGCCTCTACATACCTAACATGCATTCATTCATTCACTGAATCTGTATTTATTGAGTATCCCCATATGCTGGGCACTCCGAGTATACAGCAGACATGGTTAGAGCCTCCATTCCTGAAGCTTCCCATCTGGGGTTGAGGGGGCTAGGCACAGGACATAGCATGAGTAAATATATAATTTCTCATCTTGCTGAGTGTTATGAAAACTAACAATAGAGTACCTTGGGAAAAAATAATAGAGGGTGTCTAATGCAGAATTTGGATTTCTAAGAAGTTCCCAGGTGATGCTGTCGGTCTGGGGACCACACACTGAGAACCTCTGCCATAAGATATTATGGGTAGAGGACATTTCACTTGCCTTTTGGGTTAGCTCAGCACACATTAGAATCACTTGAAGGCCTTTACAAAAAATACTGCTGCCTGACCACATCCCAAGAGATGCTGTTACAGTTGCTCTGGACTGGAGCCTGGGAATCAGCACTTTAAGAGGCACCTAACACGTATCAGAGTTAAAGTACCACCTGGTGATAGGTGGCACAAGGGAAGGGCGGGTGTTGGTTGCTGAGCACTGGCTACTGTGTATGCCCTGGGGGTCTACACCACAAATGCTGACTCACTCAGTCATCCATCAACCCAGTTGTGGGGAGTTCTGCCTTATTCCAGTGTGGATCTCACAGATCCCCAGTTGCAGTGTGATTATACTTCTACCCACCTGTCATATGAAAGAACTGAATCTTGGTGGACTTGCTTGCCATGAATTTGAGCTCCAGCTGGGAGTGTGTCTAATAAATTTGACTCATGGACAGTTGGACTCTGTTTCTGAGCCTGGGACAGGAGGGTGATGGAAGGGGGCTGACTAGTGGGCATGCGGTGGTGCAGCGGGCGTCAGGAGACCCACATTTACTTGCAGCTCTGCTCTGACGAGGTAGAGACTTTGACAAGTCATGTGATTCCTTGGGCTACAGCTTCTTCATTTGCAAAATGAGGGCATTGAAGTAGGAGATGACCAGCTTCTATCAAAGTCTCGCAATTCTAGTTGTAGAAGCAAATGTGAAACTGAACCCCAGTTTCCTCCTTGATAAGAATTGGACTCATGACTTCTAAGACATTTGTTAGCCCTCAAGTGCTGTGATTCTTCTGATAATGACAACAGCAAACATTTAAAGAGCATCGGTATATACCAGGCACTGTTCCAAGAAATTGGCATTATCTCATTTAGTCCTCCCAACAAAACAATGAGATAAATTCCATTATTACCATCCCCATTTTATAGGCAAAGAAACTGAGGAAGAGCAAGGCTGTGTGAGCAGCCCAGACTCACACAGATGGGAGGTAACAGAACCATATTCTGACCATCCTGGGGCCCCTAACCACCCCCTGTTTTCCCCTCAAACATTTCCCTTACCTGCCCTGACCCTCACTTTTTCCAACAATAAAATCAGAGTTTGGACTAAATGGTTTCTAGGTTCCTTTTAGCTCCAAAACCCAGTGTATTTATGGATACTTCCACTTGTTCATTTGTTCATATTTCCCTTATTCATTCAGCAAATTTGAGTGAGCTCTTAGCATGGGATTTGGGGGTCAGACTGCTCAGATTCCAATGCTAAGCTGACCACTTATTAGCTATATGCCTTTGGTCAAGATCCCTAAACTCTTTGGCCTCACTGGCCTTATTTATTCAAAGGGAATTAATAAAAGCACCAGTCATGTAGGGATGCTGCCAGAATAAAGTGGTGTGTTGCCTGCAAGCACTCAGCATGGTGCCTGCCAAATAGTAAGCACCCAGTAAGTGTTTGTGTCAGTATTGTGAAGGGCCCACACTAGTTACTCGGGGTGCGAAGATGAGTAAGATTCGGTCCTTGGCATCGTAGAGCTTACAGCCTGCTCAGGGAGGAGAGATGGATACAAAGAATTAGAAAATGATGTAAAACCAGAGAAGTGTGTCCCAAGCCTTTAGGGAATGCAGAGGATGGAGGGATTATTTCAGGGGTACAGGATCAACGTGGTGAGTTTCTAGTCACTCGGCAGCCTTTGGGCCACTTGGGTAGTGAGAGGAAGAATAGAAGGCTTCATGAGCATGCCCCCTGTTTTTGGAGCACCAGAGGCTTCAAAGACCACCAGCACTAGGACACGGGCAGCCCATGAGTGCAACCAGTGGGAAGCATAGTCTGTAGGTGCCTCTGATTCAGATAGCTGGGGAGGCACAGAACTTCCTAATGAGCAGAGGAGAGGCAGGAATCAGCTTGGAAGAGGTGGGCAGGCAGCATGGAGAAAGAGGCAGACAGAAGCTATAGTGAGGGGAGTGGGCCAGAAGTGGGGTGCACCCCACCACCAATGATCAAAGAGCTCAAAGGCACCTTCAGTGTAAGAGAAATCCCTTTTACAGTCAACTGGTCCTGTCTCTGGGCTTTTTTTCAGGGCTGATGTGAGGAGCCAGTGTTGGCAAGGCCCTGGGCTCTCCAGGGGGACTAGGGGATGGGTAACACCCGGCAGAGGCAAGGAGCACGGTGGCAGTGGGTAGCTTCAGCTCCTCCGGCATGCCGCTTCCCAGAGTCCAGAATCACAGAATCGTGTAGCTGGGTGGGACTGGAGCTGAGCTGGGTGGAGGGGTAGGGATCAGGCATCTCCTTTACAGACTCCCCAACCACACCAGCATCCCTGAGGGCAAGGCCTAGGAGTCTGCATTCCAACATCCTTCCCTGGTTCTCCTGTTCCCTAGTCTTAGACTGCACTTTGAGAGACTCGTTGTAGAGGGAATCTCAGTAATGAAAACCAAGACTAGACCAACTGAGACAGGGGTGGGGGCCTCCAGATTTGCAGTTTTCAGTTAGGGGAAACCTGTGTTGTTTTCCTCAAAGTTTCCTGTAAGACCCGTACACCTGCCCCCTCCACCCCACTCTCTGTCCTCATTCTCAATGTGAAAGCTACAGGCCGAAAGGGTAACATTTAACTTACAAATAATTTCTAAAAAATTTACAGGAAAGAGAATGCTCCTTTCTGACCTCAAATCTTAAAGCCCTTCACGCAATGCAGGCCTGGTTTCACCAGCCCTTTCCCACACGTGACATGTTTCATCAGGGGCTTGCTTTGTATGGGACCTTGGGCGCGCTGACAGCCGGGGACCTGTCTCTTCCCTCCTGTTCTTGACCCCTTGAAAGCCAGCTCCTGATACAGTCTAGTCTTTAAACCCTTAAGGGAACTCACACACAGCTTTGATTGGAGGCGTTCACCTATCTCTGGGAAGAAAAAAACAAAGAGGATTCTTTCAAAACATATGCTAGAGCCTGTGCTGAGCGAAGAGAAACGCTGTAAATTCCCTGAGTCCCCTCAGGTTGCTGGAGGCACAGAGAAGCGTCTTGACTTGGCACTTGTCTCAAACTACTAGTTTCCCAGTCGCAAGATAGCAGGACAGCCTCAGATGTCTGTGGCCCAGCGGAGGGCCTGGCAGCATGAAATGCATATATGTGGATATACACACACTTTCAGCTTGGGTGGTCAGGGAGAGGAGGGGCTGGGTGGCAGAGACTTCCTTCCAGGCTTCCCTGAGGCAGTCACAGGGATGGAGTCACAGTCACGGGTCCCAGAGGCAGGCAGGGCACCTCTGGCATTGCTTCTTCCTGTGTGGATTTGCCCCATGTAGGGTGCTGGGTCCTCAGGGCAGAAGGGCCGGCCGTGGGCTGCACCCATGAAAGGGCGACATTTTCCTGCATGTCTGGGTTTGCCCTCTGTCCCAGGATGATAGTCTCAATGCTCTAGAAAGTCCCTACTGGAATCCCGTGCCCAGCCAGCCAGAGGTCCCAGGCCTTCGTTTTACTCCACAGACAAGCCCCAGCCCAAAGGGCCTTGGCAGTGGCCTAGAGGCTATGGAAATTTCTCTAGGGAAATCTCACAAACCAAGCCTGTAAGAAACTTGACCTCATTTGCATTTCCTGATTGAATCACAGATAGGTTTTGGTTCTCTCTCTTGCCTTTACAAAGATGGGCCCAGGAATGAAGAAAAGCTAAGTTACCTACTATTTTCAGGAGAAATGTGTTCTTATGGATTCTAAACTTGGTACAATAGATGATATTCCTTACACATGGTATTTCTAGGTTTTGACGAATTCCGCAGTAGATTTGTGTCTTTATCGTGTATTTAACAATCTTTCTTCCCTTCTTGTACATCATTGTTTGATGAAAGGTCAGACAGCATCAGAGCATACTCCTGAAGGATTTGTTAGTTAACTGAATCTTGGTCCTCAGTATGGAAGTGATGGAACTTCTTTCAAGGATCTCAGTTCCAGTAATTACATAATTCGAAGACAAAACAGTTGCTTGCTCTGCTCAGGACTCTTGTGTTTAATTCCCCAAAGGGAGAGGAAATGTAGATGTAGAAAACCAGAGAGTGCGACCAAGTTATTTAGATGTCAGTCAGCATCTAGACATCTGGCATCTACTGACTGGTGTCACAGAGCCTTTAAAGAAGGCAAACAATGATACAGAGTTGATTCTTCAACATGTCTGTTGGGCTTTGTTGAGCCACTTCTACAAAAGTCCAGAAGCACAGTTCTGTCTGTCAGGCCCAAACTGTGGAGGAAAATAATGCTGGGGCGAGGAATTAACAGCTTCTTGCTGGGCCTCCATACACAGAAGGACTCTACACATGCACCTAATAACGGGAAAGACAAACCAAGGGCCAAGGAAAATCAGTTCAATTCATTTTCCTTTTGATGAAAGAAAGTAGAAATCTTTTTCTTTTCATGCAAGAGTAAGAAACCACTCTTCAAAGTATAGCATTTAACACCTAACTGGATGCTAAATTCCTTTTTCTTCTTAGTTACCCCCTTTGTCTTAGGCATCCCAAAAAGAAAAGACATTTGAGGGCCCCGAGAGTCCAAAAGGAAGGACACCCCATCAGTGGGACGGTCATCCTAGTCTTCTGACTGGACAAGGTGGGATTCAGGCACATTCGGTTCCTTGTCGGGCTTTGCCACTTATTAGCTGTGCAACCATGAGCAAGATACTCCACCTCTCTGAGCTTCGCTGCCTTCCCCTGATAAATGTGGCTTTAATTACTGTCTTGACAGGGTGAGTGTGAGCAATAATGGAGATAATGTATGTGAAGTTTTCCCCTATGCTCCCCATTTCTTCTGTGTGGAAAATTCCTGAAAAAGAAAATTTGAGGATGATTTTAATGTAATCTTAATGTATTAGAATCCTTGTACCTGTTCCCACTTCAGATCCTCACTTCCCAAATATTCCTCTTCCTTTCTCATTTTGCTTTGTTCCTAATCCCTCCCACCTGTTGTATTTCTTTCCTTTCAAGAATATACCCGTCTCTTTCCTTTTCTCCTTTCTTTCCACCTTTTACTTGCCCCTGATTGGTATAAGGGAAGAGCAGGAAAGGATTAGCCTTAGTGTCAGGGCATAGAATATAAAAGAATGGAATATAAGAGAAAAAAGAGAGAAATTATATTCTTTCATGAACTCAACAACTATTAAGTACCAACTGTATGCAAACTCAATGCACAGGACTGGCACACTTATTGCACTTGCAGCATTTTATGGGCAAACCTGGAAGTCAACAGACAAGTATGATTCTCTCTTCCAAATGCTTTGGCCCAGGAAACAAAGGATGTTAGGGGGCACCAAGGAGGGCTTGGGAAGGAGGCCACAGCAACCTGAGAGCCGAAGGTGAAGCCGGAAGAGAAAGGGTTTTGCAAAGGCATGGTGCAAGACCATGTACAAAGCCCCTAGGAGAGAGAGAACTGGTGTGTCTGAAGAAATGAAAGGTCTGGATGGAGGAACGGCAAGTTCATGGGAGAGGGTCTCAAGGTGAGGGGCTGAGGGCCGGTCAGGTGTGACCCAAAGGCTTTGCATGCCTTGGGGACCATTTTAGATGTGTCTCTAAGAACCAGAGGAAATGGGTGGAAATCAATAGGGAGGCAAGAGCGATCAGGCCTGTGATAGGGGCACCTTGCTCTGGCCGCA